TTATGTCGCACAATCTACAGTACAACGCCAAAAGTGATTCATCATTTCCCTTTTTACCATATATTTTAAGAAAAGTTGGTTTTTGTTTAAAAAAAATATTGTGAGTTCAATTTTACTCCAGATTAGCAAAATTTGATAATTAATCACCGAGTATAAGATTTTAAATTATAAAATCACAATTTCTAACTTCAAAACACTATGATTTCATGACACTTTTTGTTGTAAAATTTAACTTTTTCATTTGATACTTGATATCACTGAAATGCATTCTAATAAGATTATTTTCAAATTATGCGAAGAAGGTACAATGAATTCGGAATTTACTGATACTCGCTCATATCTGCAACTCACAATAGGTTTATTAATTGTTCCTCAAATATCTCAAACACATTTACGCTAAAAAAAATGCACCTCTAACTTGGAAGAGCGCCTAAATGGAACCACACATGCATGTATAGAAAGCTATCTTAAAATAAATATAATCGGTCACCACATGAATATATTAGAACCTTTGATTCCCTTAATTTAACATTTTGGGTAAAATGAATTGTTTTAAGGATTAATTAATGAAAAAAAAGATTGAAATGATCAAGCTTTCGTTTCTGGCATTTCAACGCATTTTTTTCTTCAAACATTATTTTATAATAAAACTAAATAAATGTAGAAAATTTCATGCAATAAATTGTTTAACAAATTCAATTAATACATGTCCTCATCATACTGACGCAAATATAAAATAACTCATCAAATACATGTATTGTGAAAAATTGCAACAAACTTTCATAATTTCCATATCATTTTACAGATTCTCATATCATTTTATTTAATTTAATTCATTCATGCCAGTGGCCAGTAATTAGAGCGTTTGCTCTAGAGTCAAGGAGTAAGGAGTCGATCCTTAGGTCGCGGGTTCGAATCCCACTGCGGGACGTGGAGACCGGTCCTTCGGATGAAACCGTTTAACTGAGGTCCCGTGTCGCAGTAAGTGCTGGCCAGAAAAAAAGATCCCTCGCTGCACAATGTCCCTGAGTGCTGAGTATAGATATAAAATTTGCATCCTACCAATGGCAATGGTGGCGTACGCGTCTCATTATGAGTGAAAAATTCCCGAGAGGGACGTTTTAATTAAAACAAACAATCAAACAAAATCATTCATGCCACCGTCTATCAGTACTCACAGTACTTTGATTTTCTACCTGTGCCATATAAACAACATCCATGACTGTACCTGTCCAGTACACACACTTTATTCTACATCCATGACTGTACCTGTGCCATATAAACAGCATCCACCACTGTACCTGTGCATCATACACATCTTACTCTACATCCATGACTGTACCTGTGCCTTATAAACAACATCCACGACTGTACCTGTCCAATACACACACTTCTTTTCTACATCCATGACTGTACCTATGCCTTATAAACAACATCCACGACGAAATGAACAAAGCCACTATGATCCCAATCATTGAACGTTGAAGAATGTATACATTTTCAATTTTACTGTTAAATTCTATAAATGATATAGATTATGATGCTTAAAAGGAAGGTAGACCTGGGGTTAGATTGTGTTAATTATCATTAGATAAAAGTTTTTAATCGTGCAGGTTCGAGGCAATGCATGATAGGGGAAGGGGAAGGGGTGCATACTGTTTGTATATTTAATTCAATTTCTAAAGAAGATGGACGTGTTTGGCGTGTGATCTGCAGGTATAAGGCGTACGAAACATTTATAGTTTAAATGTCTACGATTTGGTCGGCTGACCACAGCTGGACACTCATGTACATGTGTACTTTACAAAGTCACGCGTATGGGAAAATTATGGGAAAGTTACATTTAGTTTGAAATACTCTGTCAAATTTAATACATCAGTCCGCTTATCTTAATAATTACTACATGTTTAACTTAGTAACGCTTCACATAAATAATAAACACCTATATAGGGTATAGTTAAATGAAATTACAAGTACATGGGTATATTAAAGTATCAGTAGGTTGGAAGAATTGCTTTCGCTTTCGGTGCAACAGAAGCAGAATTTATCTATTTGAAAATAAATCAGTACATAAAATTAAACTGACAAAAGAATTGATTGTTTGTACTAAAAAAAAATAATAACGCTCCATGCGAGGATCGAACCAAAAATAAATCTTTCATTGCACTGGCATGGACGGTTAATGCATACTACTGAGCTATCACCGCTACAAATACAAAATGGTTTTTAAAGCGACAATGAAGCACCGCATTTACACAGTGGTATTTTTTTGGAATTTCTTTTTTTATCGTCTCTGGGTCTCCTCTCCATTTTTTAAAAATGTTTGTTAGTTTCTTTGAATAAAAATGCATACAAATAACGTTTCAAAACCATGGAGAGATGACCCAGAGATAGCAAATTTTTAGAAAAAAACGTGTTTAAAAATGTAACATTTTGTACGAAATGACTCATCTAGCCAATTTTCAAGTTCTTTTTTAGCAAATCAAAATACAATATCGGGAAAATATTTCCCTTTCCTATTTCACAGGAACCCGATACATCAAAAGAATGCTAAAATTTCATGTGACAGATCAATAAAATTTTCACTTTTTAATTGCGCCCAGATTCCTGCCGAATACCAATCAAAAGCGCCCTCGTTCTTTAAGCATTCATTTTAGTGTTATTAGGAAAGAAAAGAATTGCTTCAAAATTAAGTAATAAACTGGAAATTCAAAATATTTTATACATACAGTACGTATACCCTAAAATGATACTGGATTCCATCTCGCTCACTCTCTCTAATTGGGGGGGGGGGGGGTGTCCATAAATCCGCGCAGTTTCTCTCAACTCTCAAGTTCTACTGTGGTCAGTTTCTCACCTGTGGGCGCGGTTCACGTGCAAAAGCGGCAATTACATGTCTATCATCGTGTAAATTATAAGACTTTACACATCTTAAGTGATCTTCTGACGTTTTCATAACTTTCATCATTAAAGTGAAAAGAGATTCTTTTTTTCACTGTTTTGGGACCTTTGTGCAAGTGGATGATTGTGTGAATTCCGACCCGTACATGTCTTACGCAAGGTCTGATCGAGGGAGTCTTGCATCAGGCATTCAGAGGAATACACACAAATCCGTGAACTTGCAACGGCGATTGAGGGTATATATATCAAGTGTTAAATGTGCTCTGCATATATAAACTTCTCATCTTCTATGAGAAGCACTGAAATATTTTCATAGTATCATATTTCCTACTTAGAACATTCTCTTCTTTAATTTTTCGTCGAGAACGACGAAGAACAATGCAGTCTATAAATAGATCGAGGTCGCGTCTTTGTTTAGAGGGTGTTTTTGAAGAATCACGCCCTTTGGTTGGAGCAAATAGCACGAGTTTCTTTAGAACAAGTCGTGTACATCTTTTTCCCAGAATTCCAAATTACACAAGCGCACTTGCAAAACAAAGTCTTTGGCTCCAACATGCATTGCGGCAAAATGGCGTCCGATGTAAACAAACGATGGATTGTCCTTCGCTTTCTCCAAATATACGGCTGCATAATGGCTGTATTTAGTGCATTGTGACTTTATTTTAATTTTTGTTGAATGGACAATTACATTAATTAAATTATTTCATGGATATTGACTTATTTATCGCTTCAAACTCTTGCATAATAGTAAATTGGATATACGACATCGAATTCAATACTGCCGGTGAGAATAATGAATTATATCTCCTTGATTTAAATTTTATGTCATTCCTACAATAAAGGTGCTTTTATTTGTTTTTGAAGACACCCAGCTTGTATTTATTTTAATTTAAAAAAATGCGTATTTTTCACCACGGAACAGAAATATTCACAGGTTCATTTTTAGAAGACATTTTGTGACCTTAATTTCTAGAATCGTGGTGTTTAAAGTTTTCATATTGATAGCTAATAGTTTTAAAAATTGTTTTCATAATAATATCTGTTCGTATGTGATAAAAAATCGGTAAATAACGATGGTAAGAACTTACGCCTTCAATTCAGATGTCGTACACAAATAAAAAAAAAAAAAAGGAATGCTAATTTATGTGTAAAATTCAGTTAAGTTTTTAACAGTTACAATATATATTGTCCCATTCTGCATATATATCCCTTTCATTATGCATATTTACTTCTCAAATGTATCATTTTCTCTGAAATTGATCTGACTTCAAACGTCAACTTTGAAAGTAAATATCTCCTTTTTTGCAAATAAAATAAAAAATCTGACAAATACGATCTCTTCTGAAGTCTTTTATTTAGCAATTCTGAGTACTGGTATAATTGCCATACTTTCCAAAACTTTGTACAGACAGTTTTTGTAGACCCATCATTTTTGCCGAAAAATCGCCATTTTTTGTGCATGTGCGCATGCGCGGACTCAATTTCTTACTTCCGGAAACGCTGTTTTTGGAGTTCGTCTAGTCTGTACACGGGAGGTCACTCTCAATCACTATTTTATAAGTGAAAAAACCCATGTATTAAACCTTTTTTTCTCCGGAAAACCGTGACTTGCCAATGTCCTTAATTGCGCTTTGATTGAATTCAGTCTAAATCTAAATCGGAGAAAATCCACAGAATTTCGTGTCGTGGATGTTATTAATCAAGCGCGGGTTGAGTCAGTGGTAGTGTGTATGTACGGCACAGGTGCAGTCGCAGATGTTGTATATCAGGCAAAGGTATACAGTCATAGATATACAAAATGTACGCTGTAGTAAATGTTACTTTTTAGAGATTATAGCGATCCATACAATGGATTTAGGCATAGTCAAGTTTACATAATTATATTTTCCTCGACATATTCACTAAGCCAGTTATCGTTACCGTTTTGGCGATTACAGCCTTCCGTACGGTAGATTTATTTGAAATCAGAAATTTTCTTTCCCCATATTCGTATTTTTCATTAAACAATCTATACTTAACAACATATAGTTATATACATTGAACAATCCGGAAAATCTTGCTCTGACATTCCGTTTTTGATATTAGTGAGCAGGTACAGTCATGGATGCCGAGTACAGTTGCGGATGTTAGCTGACAGACCCCACTCACCACATGTTCACCCGACAAATGAAGAATTATCACATACACGTAAGAAATTATTTAATACAAATAAGAAATTATACAATGCAAATGGAAAATATAAAACTAAAAAAATTATGCAATACAAATGATTTTGTTTTACAATACAAATGTCCTGAGACACCAGGATGCTAGTTAACCAATGCCAGGGAACCAGTCCATAAATAAAGAAAACAAAAAAAAAACGTTTAAAATTTGTTTCGTCCAACATGAACATTTCACAAAGAAAATGTTTCTACAATAAATATAAAGAATTATAGGAACCTTTTTACATGTACATGTATATAGCAAACAAAGATACTGTATCAGGGGTCATCGTCGCAAGCCACGGGTTTTGTGTCCATTCTATTTCAACAAACCCGTGGCTGTCTTCTACAAATTTCTCTCGTTCTCATGAATATTAATAACATACATTCAACCAATGGAATAACATCTGACGCTTCAAGTCAGAACCAATGAAAATGATCAGTCTATCTTGTATTTGGATGTAACCATAACCACGAGCTGTACATCAACTTCGGTTCGAATTTCCTTTCTTAACGAGTAACGCTATTCAGCGTTCTCACACAACGTCTACATTCGAATCCCTGTATTTTAATGTAAAACCTTGTAAGTATTTTAGAATATACGTTACTCACCTCTGTTCTTCAGGATCTATCGTATTTTTTTCAATGAATCTGCCACGCATAGCAAACATGATTTCATTATGGGCGCCGCCATTTAAGCGTACCAAAAATTGCCACAGAGTGATTTCCTTGGTCAAGGTAAATCTGGCGTCACTTAATAAATTTTCAATGATTCAGTCGCGAGAACGAGAGAATTTGGTAGGAGGCAGCCACGGGTTTGTGGAAATAGAATGGACACAAAACCCGTGGCTTGCGACGATGATCAGGGGTGTGCCATTACAAAAATTAGTTACTAGCCCGTCGGGCTAGTGGCAGTAACAAAGTTACTAGCCCGAGGTTGCCGGTCACTAGCCCATTAACTATATACCGAAAACAATACATGTATAAGTATAACAAAAAGGTAAAAAAAAACATTTAAGTTGAAATAAATCAAACAAATAATGGTTTGCGCTTTGTTATTGTCAGGTACCACTCTCTACCAACGGCTCATACATTCACCTCTGTCGTTGGCTCGCGTATATCACAGTGATAAGCAAGAGAAATAGTGCGTTTGTTTTAATTTATTATAATTAAATTCCTGCACTAATGTTTGTCTTTTAAGGTAGATATTTACTAAGTAGATCTAGAAATATTAGTTTAATTTGAAATGATCCTAGGAATATAATGTTTTTAACCTTATGTCAAAAATCTTGACGCTAGCCCATTGCAGAGGTGTCTAAGAGAGGAACGAACGACAACTCTGCAAAGGAGATTGGTCAGGTACTTCTCCCTATTTTTTATCGACTATAATTGTCACTGAAACGACTGGCGATGGCAACACACAATACATATAGGTTAAAACGAATTAAAGATTTCTTGGGAAACGAAACCATTCCTTGTCTGGACAACTGCAATCATCTCGGTATTCTTATCAATGATAAGTGCAATCTTTCAGATAGAATAATTTCTGCATGTCGAAAGGGTAAAAACTCGTATTTCGCCCTTAATGATATTGGATCTCAGTACCTGAACCCTTTAACACTTTCTCATCTCTACAAATCAGTTGTCTTACCATCGGTACTCTACGGATGTGAGTTACGGAATGACATGTCCTCAAATGATTTACATCGCTTGAATGTCTTCCAACATTTAGTGGTCAAAAACGCCCAGAATCTACCTACCAGAACAAGGTCTGACATTTGTGAAAACCTTTTTGAAGTTCTTCCAATACAAGCCGAGATTGATACAAGGAAACTACTATTTTTTGGCCGTCTGTGTCGCCTGGAATACAAAACTCTGTCTAAGAAAATCTTCTAAACCACGCTGTTTTCTTACTTGGAGGGGATCGCCCATAAGCAGCTAGGTTTTATTCCTGATATTTTGAGTCTTTTATGCATTTATAACCTTTGCGAATATGTGAGAGAGTGGCTTTCGCTCGGTTCATTTCCATCAAAGTCAGCCTGGAAACAAATTGTGAGATCTGCGACATTTCGATACAATAAGCTCCGGAGAGACACACGTGTTTCAGGTGATCCAGGATTCATCCGTTTCCGGAAAATATTTCAGGATGGAAATCCGGCTTTAATCTGGCGACTACCCAAAACCTTTTATGAGATTTCGTTGTGCAAATTCATTTGCAAATTAGTCTCCGAACCTCCTCGAGAAACTACAGAAATTTGTCCCCTTTGTGGAACTCTTTATGTTGATCTCTTTAACCATGCGTCGTGTACTTGTCGTATCACATATGATATACGCATTCAATGGTGGGAAAATGTAATTAACTACTTTGACATCAACTTGTGTGCTGAACTGTGTGCCCTTACAGATGATGAGCTGTACTTGATTCTTCTAGGCCGTAAGCCGAACACCATTCTATCCGCCTTCCACCTCCGAAACTTCCAGCTACGTAACTTTCGTCTCATTGCCGATGCTTTTGCTCTCTATAAGCGCAATCTTTTCGTACTGCAAATCTGTCAGTGAAGGATGCTTCCCACTCCTTTATATCTTTCTGTTTCCTAATGTTCATCTATAGTTTTTTTTTTTTTTTTTTTTTTTTTTTTTTTTTTTTTTTTGATAACTCGCAAGGACATAGTGTATGAAGTAAAACTTCAAACTTTGTAAATATTTCTTTTTGCTATATATATGTTTACATGCAATTCACCTTTGTATGTGTACGAATTTCAATTCATGTAGTTATGTTATATATACGATATTCTTTTTTTGTGCATTTTGTACAGTATTCATTAATCACTGCAAAGTGGAAATACAGTATGAATGAATGAATGAATGATTTTACAACATAGTAAATTCGTACATCAATTCAGTCGATGTAAATATATGTATACTTTCGTTTTAGATTTAATAGCCCGAAGGGCTAACGCAGTATAGATTTATGATAGCCCGACCTCTAAAATTGGTAGCCCCGGGCATCGGGCGATGGTAATTGCACACCCCTGTGTATATAGTCCGTCGCATAATGTACACGCAAATAGTTACATTCGCTGGATAATTCATATATGATATCAACTGTGATCGGCCAAAGCCGATCACAAAGATGGTCGAAATCGATATATAGACTGTACAGAATGCTGCAAGTCAAGAGACTCTCGGAATCTTCTGATTTGATTTTCTTAAACAATCCTCTCTTAAAACATTGAACCAGGATATAAAGTGAATTAATATAACATGTATTAAACCGGTTATAGGTGACGCAGAGATTATCTCCCACTCTTGTCTGTTACGTGTACAAACACTGGTTTAATTTTTATTGTTTTGTATAGGAAAAGGATTGGAAACAAGTTCTTAAAACTTCGAACGTCCTCTCTTTTATGAGAATTAATTACACAAAATAATGTTCAAAAAAGTAAATACATTGGTGAATATCTGCTTACATTAACTATACATGTACAAAAATATGATTTAATGTAGCTTGAAAAAAATGAATCTAAATAAGATAAAAACTCAAAAAAAAAAATCTTTATAAACAATTACATACTTGAAAATGAACTTTCATACTGATACTGATTTAGTCATGCACAAACACTAATTATCTTCAGCATGAAAATCTATTAGAAATGTATGATATTATATGCATATCAGAAATTTTGATTTACAATGCATTGTAAACATTTTATAACTCTGAGATTAAATTTCTTGTGCTATCATTCGCTTTACTCCTTCTTAATTCAGACCTTGAATCGAGTGGGGTTTTTTTCACTGTCTATGACGGAAATGAAAAGCTAGTATCCATCTCAAGCACAGGCGCCTGAAGTGTGGATCGATAGCCCCCCCCCCCCTTTTTTTTTAATTAAAAAAAATTGTAAGAGCTTATAATTCCTCAAAAATATAAAAATTTCCCCGTTAATCACATCCATATGTCGTTCTATGCAAGCAGATTGTACCTTTTCTTACGTTTGGAGAATGGCCCTGTACGGTATTATAAAAATACACAAGGTAAGAAACAAAATCTGTAAACAAACGGGGGGTTCCCTGCTTCGAGACATATTTCCAAGGTAATATCAGTGTTACCTGTCATAATTTTGCAAGCACTCTGTCAGAGAGATGTTCTTCTACTAGTCTCTTAAACCTAAACCCCATCATTAGTGTTTTATATGTCGTAATCGGACGATTTATTAATCGGACACATAAAATTTTCTCCATTGACAGCTTTGGAGTTCGCACATCCGTCTCGCTTTATCTGATTGGTCAAAGATTTAAACTGTATCACTGTTAACCAATCAGATAAAGCGATGTACTGAGACTTGCGCTTGAATTAAGAATAGCATGATAAAGAAAATTCGGTGGAAATAAATGATTTTGCCGTATGGTATCACTCAAACATTTATAAATAAAAGCATTCGATGCGGACTGAATTTTAGATTGTTAAGTGTAAACTTTCTGAACAAACGGTAGATTGAAAACTCAAAAGTTTAAAATACAAAAATCGGTATTGGAAATTTGAATTTTGAATATTTAAAGTAAATAACTAAATAACGTGTTTGGAATTTTGAGAATTTAGATTTTTGAACTAAAATATCAAATTTCAAAATACGAAATCAATTTGAGATTATGAAATTTAGAGGTTGAACTAAACTATTCAATTTCTAAAAATTCTAAATCATTTTAGAAAATTGATTTTTTAAGTGTTACACGGACTCATGTGCATGATGTGCGTGTTATTTAAATTTATAATATAACAAAGAAAAATATTAAACTGGACAATGACAGATACATGTTACAGGTATATCTAAACTGACATACATAGTCTTAAAAACTACTGTGAAATTTATTAGAGACTGTTTTGAACATAGAAGTCAACTACTCTAGACTACATAAAAATTATGTAAACTAAATTAAATGATGTTCAATGGGCCTTTGCCAATCATTGTAATTGTGTTTATGTCA